AACGTCTATGCTGAGCGAGGACAGAGTGCAAGACCCGGAAATATATAGCCCAAGGGAAAGACAGGGACAGGAAGGACAGCAGACCGGAAACTAGGGACAGGACAGAGAAGGAGCGTCCTCTGGCTGCAGAGGGCGTGACACATACTGTATACTGTATATAGCATAATATAAGTGTTACATCAAGAAAACATCTAATATGTTCAAACAATATTTTGTCATGTTAATAAAAGGGTTTCTGCTATATAGTGCACTGTATAATCCATCCATAATACTAAACTACTATTCCATACAGATGATCAACGAGCCTAATCTGCCTGAAATCCCACATGGACATGTGAAAACATGCAAATTCCACAAAAAGGTACATCAGGCTATTATTGACCCTAAGCCCCAAAGGATATGAGGAAGCCATACCACTGTTGTGTTATATATCCAATCCTGGATCCAATATCCAATAATAAGTATTTATGCCTCTTATTAATACACAATTTAATAAATGGCTTTTTTGCATACATTACAAAAAGTATGGAACATTTCATTTATTATAAAAAGAAACACTGTCACTATGTTTTCCATCTCTGACTTCCATCTTCCAAGGTGCCTAGATCCCACTCTTCCACTACATACAGCAAGGCCCTCTCACGTCCGTATGAAGTGTGCACGAAAGTAAACTATTTAGTGACTAGTGAGTCAGAGTTTTTGGCTGAAGTATCTAACCTGGCCTTTCCCTCCCACACAAACTGCTTTAACCAGATGCTTTAACGAGTGCTGACATGCCCAGCAGTGGCAGAATGGCTGATATGTCCCCGTCTGAGTATGAAAGTAGGCTGCAGGTTCTTCCCTAACTGCACTTAATTACTTTCTAGCAATGTGAAGGACCTGGAAGAGTGAAGATAGTCCTTCACAGACCCTTTGTAATAAAAAAAACTACCTAAGAGCACTGTATTTTACTGTGGTCTTTCTGTAGTTTCTATTTATCTATTTGTTGGCAGTTCAACAGTGTTGTCGGGTTAAGGCAAAACTTTAGCTCTCTTCTGATGTCCATCTGCCACTATATGTAATATGTATGCAAACACAGTAAACAGCTTGAGTCTCCTTGCTTACTGGTCTCTGCCCAAGCAGACAAAGTGACATGTGTTTCAGGGGGACTCCCCCATAAATAAGGTGGTGCTCCCAAGGTGTTACCAGGGACACAAGTATAGATAAAAACTGATCTGATGAAAAGGCCATACTACTAACCATCCTCTTTCAGTGTTGTATGAACTGCTGTCATCTGCTTCCACTCCCACTTGTATTGCTGTAGGACCCATTGACTGACTCTTTCACTTCTTGGTCTGGATCTCTGTCCGAGCTCACTCTCAATTCCCAGACAAGGACTAGTAACCGTCAGGACATTGTGGATGAACAGAGACTGACTCCAAGTCTCCCAGTCTCTGACTCCTGTGCTGTGAGGTCTGGTGATATACTCTCTACCTTTGAACCAGGAGAGCCTGGAATATCTCCCCACTTCAGAGATGTCTTCACCTCTTAGGTCAGTCACATAATGAGACCACCAGCATGCTCTCCTCCTCTGGGTCAAAAGTTAGGATGCCCACTCTCTCATAGCTTTGGACAATTACGCATTTTTCTCAGAAAGCTTTCTGATGGTCTCACCTGAGTTTAAAGCTACACCTCTTCAGGGATGCTGCAAAATCTTCAGGTGTTCTGCTGCCTTCTGACTGGCCAGGATGCACAGCGTTACTGCAGGGGCTTATGCCTTTTTGCATGCCTCACTGCTACAGTTATACCACGCTCTGCTACTGGTGGGCAGTTCAGCCAGTCTGGAGGAAAGTTAGTCCCACATGGGACTCACCCACATCACCACATGTGAAGTCTGACTTCTCCCAGTTCTTCCAAATTTGCTCCTCTGTCCAGCTGACTAGACTCTGTATCTCATGTGGGCATCTCTGTCTCCAGGACTTAATGGTAGGTACTGTACACCTCTCCTAACTGATCTGGCATTTTCCACTTCCAGGAAGCTTCCAGACATCACTTCTGATTGCTTGCCACTCTTTAAGCCCAAGCAGTGAGGTCTACTTCTCTCTTGATATAAAGTCTTCTCAATGTGAAGATCATTGCCACCACCTAAAAGTCCACTACAGTATATATTAGTCTACTCAAGTCAGTCTGGTAGATTTCTAAATTTCAATTTCATCCAAT